AAGGAGTTAGTATTTATGACAATTACACGGGAAAGTTCGAGTGCTTCGATTTGGATGATGACCCTCAGGGGACAAACGGGTGGAATTGGCAGGGGCAATTTTTTGTTTTTTTTTTGTTTGTTGGTTTTTTTTGTTTAATAAATTGTGTAATCACTGTCTTTATAAAGTGTTCTCGATTTGTCTGAAATTTACCAGGCATGCACTGAGATGGTGATGCCGACTTCTAGTAGCAAAAACACGAGTATGTTTCCCGCGTACGATTACGATTACGCCTCCGATGAAGAGTGGTGTTTGGAGAATTACGGTGTTAAACCTAGGCCTACTTGGATCACTACCGAATTCGGTGGACATGTATGGATTCTTTGCTCGATTTACGAGTTTATTGCATTTAGGATCCCATGTGTTATATCTAATTGCAAAAAAACTCCCCTGCGATGCATTTTTTTAGCATATAACTCGTAAATGGTGTGTTTTTAGGGAGTAGTTTGCTAAAAAAAATTGAATCATAGGGGGTGTTTGCTAATATTAATAATACGGGAGTATTTTAGCAATCCTATATAACATAGGGTGCTGAATGCAATAAATCCAATGTTTTATACATGGATTTGTTGGATTCGGCACCCCTGTGTTTTCTCTAATTCTTAAAATAACTCTTCGTGTTATTTTATTAGCAAAAACGCCCCTATAATTCAATTTTTCTTAGCGAACCGCCCCGTGATAATTCAGGGTAATGTGCCAAAATAGGGGTTTTTTGGCACATTTCGATATAACTCAAGGGTGCCATTATAATTTCCATAACTATTTATAATGAATGAAATCCATTAAAAATATTGACTATTTGCTCGTTTTTTTTGTGTGTTTTCGTTGTAAAGGGATTTAAGCATGCATTGAAAAACTTTGGAAGTAACATTATATTCTCAAACGGGTTATTGGATCCATGGAGCGGCGGCAGGTAATTTAACCAACCTCTTTTAACCCGTTTATGTTTATAGATTTAATTACCATTATTGCACTGTAACAAAATTATTTGACGAGAATGAACGATCACCGGTGCAGTGTTTTGGAGGATATATCGGAAACTATTGTCGCTCTCGTCACAGAAAAAGGTAAACTGTTGATTCGGTTGTAAGTTTCTTTCTTAAATTATGTTGTCATTAAGCAAATTTGAGATCGTTTGTTCGATTGGATAATATTAGGGGCCCACCACTTAGATCTGCGTGCTGCAACCGCAGAGGATCCTGATTGGCTGGTGGAGCAGAGAGCTGCTGAAGTAAAGTTGATCCAATCCTGGTTAGATCAATACCTCGACAAAAAGAGAAAAGTTTTCGACATGTGAAAAAAAAATAAAAAAAAAATAATCGACGAGGTAAACTTTTTAGGAATCTCTACCGTAACATTTTGCCATAAATCTTGTAAATAACTACTAACTCGACGAGGTTTCAGTTTTTCCTCGAGTTCTGAAATATGGATGTATGGAATAATATCGTTGTTTTCATTACACACAACACATGTTGGTGTGTTTGTGTGTGAGAATTCATGGTTTGGCTGTTCATATAAGTAACATTTTCTGGTTAATGTATATATTTCTTCCTGATTATGTTCTTGCAATAATGTACTCTGGTTTTTAATATTAATTTAACTTAACTTAAAAATTAGGGTAAATTACAACCCCCGATGTATGGTCAATTTACGAAAAAACTCATTTTGTTTGGATAATTGCATCTACCTCTCAATTATGATTTTTTCTTACACTTCCACACTTATGGTGTAAAATTCAACATAATTATCTAGATTTTGTGGAATGTGCTCTAGTTTGTACTCGTTTTGTGTAAAAATAGAGTTTCTGATGCACCACAATCTGATATATACAAGCCAAAAAATACATATTATGATCATCTTACTTCAAAATGTGGAGTTCGAATGGGATAAAGCGGGTACAAAAGTGATAATATTCCATATAATCTCGAAGATTCCACTAAATTTGAAACAACAAGGGTGGACGTGTAAAAAGATTTATAGTTGATGGGGG